TCAAAACAGTTGGCCCAAAAAGTAAACTGTCAAAACTGCCCATAAGACATTAGCAGAGAGAAATAACACTGTGTTGATGTCCGCCAGTCGCGGCATCAGGAAGGAACGTACCCCACGACAGCTTTCACTGTTCACGTCATCATTCCCTGTGTTGTGAGAACATTTCGGGGATTTGGGACCTACGACGACCGGAACCGTGGGTTTATTTAGCGCGACGTCTGTTGAAATGAATGGGATCGTTCCAGGCCTGATGTTATCCGGCGTCGCAAAGTTCCGATCACAAGAGAACGATACTTTTTCTGGTGATGATTGGTTCTTGTGGAGACTCTGTCCTGCTGGCGGCTGTTCTTGGGGAGATGAGAGCTCTTCATGCTGGCGTTCTTTACTCGCCAGCTTCGACTGATCATCACACATCGAGCATTTCACGCTTTTGGTCACCGCATCAGAGTTGGAACACGAATCTGTTGCTGCTTTTTTAGTTTGGATATACCGTAGTTGTATTACGGTAGCTAGAACTGTAACACCACTATGAGTCAACAGAGAGAACAGGTAGGTAAAGATTAAAGGAAAGTCATTCGAGTTTTGGGGTAGCTCGCCGGAGACAATGCTCAAAAATACAGAAAGAGACATGAGTATGGTGACTGCGAAAGAGGCCCTCTCACCACTGTCTTCTGGGAGGATGAAAACCGTGGAAGAAAGTGCGGATATGAACATTGTAGGGACCAGGACGTTAAGAACGAAGAAGGAAGACCGTCGCTTTAAATCAAATTTCACCGTAAAAGTTAGGATTTTTTCCCCAGTCTTTTCACTCACTTCTACCCACATGTCCGAGCTGACAACGTCCCACTCTCCACTAGCCTGATAATCCTCAACTAGGGCCTTGGTCTGGTCCATCACAAAATATATCTCAGTAGCGTATTCGTTCGCCATGAATAGGATCTGGCAGGTCTGGAGATCAAAGGGGAAGAACTTCATGTCAAAACCACATGGTATCGAGAAGACAGCTCCTGGAAACCATCTTGACTCTCCGTTGGAAAAGATGGCGAACATGGCAAAGTGTTCCTGGAACAGGTCACGTCTTCCCAAGGAGTTTGGTACTTGAACACGCGGGAGCCAGACGTCGTCGATGTTTGGGTGAATGACAGACACTCCGTCATAGTCTGTGGGGTCCCAGGTTCGAAGCTCATCCACCCAAGAAAAGTTAACCCACGCATTCAAATGCACTTGCTGTGTCACTTCATCTACGTTCAAAATGTTGCGAAAGCAAAATTGAAGGTGAACAATCACAGGCTTTGATTGGTTCTTCAATGGCCGGATTCTGTTGCTGTATGGCTCAATCAAGTCCCGGTACAGGCGGATGGTGTCATTGACCGTTGTTTCTGACTCATGAGGAAACGAGAGATTCAGAAGAAGGTAAAAAATCGCTCTCACTGCTCTCGACATGTTTAATCAGATCACACCGACGCAACAGCCGTCATTGGTACGTTCTCCGCTCTGCTCTGAATAAACGATAAATAAATATAAATATATATATATATATATAAATAACTAGATAACTAGATAAATATATTAATAGATAAATGAAGAATAAGCCACAGAGGAAAAATACGAGAAACCAATTTAGAAATTTGCTTTAGACGGTACGTTGACGTGGACAGGCGCCTTCATTCTTGCAGAAAGCCATGGACATTATTTTTTTTATGAAACCAGACAGCAGGACGCTTCCAAATAGCTGACTGTGAAACAACACAGTTTGTTTGTTTTCCTTTTTTGTAGGGGTGTGGTGTGAGTGACTGTTACTTTTCCGCACCAAAATCAATTTCGTTTCATCCAGTTTCATAACCCGAACAAAGGATGTCCCCCTCCCTTCCACTCACTAACCAACCCTCTCCATATTAAAACGAAACAAACGTTATTTCTTATTCGCATGAATTACAAATTTGAATTATATTTACATGCAACTACGAATATCAAATTGTCCCAACGTCTATTATTATACTAAAAGAGGGACAACGAAGTAAAACAAGAGAGAGAGAGAGAGAGAGAGAGAGAGAGAGAGAGAGAGAGAGAGAGAGAGGGAGAGAGAGAGAGGGAGAGAGAGAGTGAGAGAGAGAGAGAGAGAGAGAGGGAGAGAGGACGAGAGAGAGTGGGGGGGGGAGAAAGGGAGGTGGGAAGACAACTTTAATAGGATCACAACCTAAACACACACACACACACACACACACACACACACACACACATACACACACACAAACACACACACACACACACACACACACACACACGCACGCACACGTGCACGCGGACACACAAACAAACACACACACACACACATATTTTTGGCTCTCCTGTAAAGTTTGAAGACTTCATATTCTTTACTTTTACATATGACGGCAGTATAACATACATGTACATACATACATGAGTCATTTTTTAAAATAAATGTCGCATTTTTTGAATTTGTGATTCCAGACCTAATTCCTTGGATACCAATGAAAAATATTGTTTAGAATTGCCTCTGACTATGTTCATGAACAAGGTAAAACGTTCCTTGATCTTAAAATCAGGTTTTCAAAACTGCCCAAATCATATAAATTTTTCAGCTCTTTTTAAAATCTTGCCCAGTAGTCAAAAATGGCAAGTTCCGCAACACGAACATGCTTTTTAACACATGCTTAGGGAGAAAAGTCATGGCTTCAGGGATTAAATATTTCACAGTTATTCAGAGTATTGGACAGCATTACCGAAGCAAAAAAAATCTTGGTGCCCGTCCCTGTCTTATATTAACTCTATCTCCATATTTTGCTTAACCCATTTCAAAGTTCTCTCCTGTTGCCCATCATTTCACACAGATGAATGGTCCCTAGATATAGATTTATTTTCTTTGAGATTTTTCGAGTGAAGACTCCCTTCCTGTTCCTTTATATGGCATGAGACAGCGGAGCTTACGCAATGCACGATTGGAAGATACAAAGCCAAGTTCAACCCAACATGGTGAGTATTTGAGCATAAATGTCCCTCCTGTTACCGGGGTCTATAACGACTTATTATACAGAAATCCGATATACTCTCCTTTGGTTAAGAAGTCTGCCAAGGTTACATTTCAATTGTAAGATAATCCATAACTTGAGCTCTTCCCAGTTAGTGGTCGTCAGGGAAATGATATACAGAATTCCCTCCTGTTACCCGGGTTTTGGTAACAGGAGAGAATAAAAAGAAACAAGAGAGAAAGGAATGTGCTCAATAGCTTAACTGACCACAGTATGGGTTAAAATGTGAGGTAGTCCACGTTACATGGAGTAAATGAAAGAGGTTAAAACTAAAGGCATGTTTGTGTTTTTTCAACAGAATACCTGAATTGTAATTTTTATCTTTGAGTAACAGGACGGAATTCAGAGTAACAGGAGAGAATAAAAGATAGCAAGAAGGAGGGGTACGTGTCAAATACCTAAACTGACCAAAGTTCGGAATGAAAAAAGGGTAATTTATGCACAAACAAAACAGAATAGTTATTATATGAAAGATGTGTCTGTACTTTTTCAACAAACTCCTGTATTGTGATTCTGTAATTTAAGTAACAGGATGGAATTGAGAGCAATAGCGAGGAAACAACAGAGCAAAATGAAAGACAGAACCTTCCATTTTTTCTACATCGATGATAATAATAATGCAACCTTGTTTGTTCCACCAAAGTCTAGAACCTTCTATTTTGATAAATAGTATCGAAGGGTTCTAAGTAATCGAGATATTGCGGGTTTAAGGGTTCGAGCCTCAGCTCGGTTCAACGTTGTGTCCTTGAGAAAGACACTTAACACGAATTTCCCATTTGGCTCCATCCTTTCGAAGAGGACGGTAACCGTTACACTCGGAGGTCCCACCTCTGAAATAATCTTATAAGGGCGTTAAACCTGTACCATTTAACTATTTTAACAAAGAGTTCTGAAAATGTAGGTCTTGATCTAGATCTTTTAATTAGTTGCAGATTTAGAAGTGCATTTCGCGTTGTCGTGATGTAGACTGAAGTAAGAAATAAGAAACTTCCTCGCAGAAAATTTGTCACACACGAAATCAGTTTCGCTTAGTTCATTTCAGCACTACGCCACTTATGCAAGATCAACATTGACTGTATGAAGGGCAGGCCCTATTGATAGTTGATTTCTCAAACAGGACTTTTTAAAATTAACATTTCCTTTTTTGTCACCAGAGACAAAGCTGACTCCTGCTGAAAAAAAAAGTAATAAAGGAGAGGCAGAGAGGGGAGAAAGAAGAACCCAGTGAAGACACTGCACGACATGCGATATGAAAAGCAGAACTGCATCAAAGACAAAGAAGAAAGAGAAAGGAAACCTGTCGTTTGTATGATTTCAAGAGACCGTTGGGCAGCATGTATGGAAAGGAGAAAAACGAAGAAAGACACAAATCTGGAGAGGAAATCAAACAGTGCCGATGACAAAACAACAGATGCCCCATCCTCATGTGTTGTTTTTTTCCTAGACTAACATGTAGGTTAGCAATGAAAACAGTGCAGGGAAAAAGAAAATAAAAGTTGAAAATGAAAACCTTATCTGAGAGCAAGAAGGCATTGTAAAGAATACTGAAATTTCCTTTTGCTCTCCAGGGTGAATTGAAAGACCGATAAAAGAAAACAAAAGTATTCGAATGTTGACTTCTGGAGAAATATTAAGAAAGCACAAAATCCAGAGCAAATTTTAATTTTGCAGAACTCTCAACATAAAGAACAAAAGGAAACTGAAGAAAAAAGTGCTTTCAACTCTGCAGATGGATAAAGTGCACATTTAGGATTTTTTTCCTTTGGCCAGATAACTCGAGAATTTTCAACGGTTTAAAAATATTGTTACCTTGAAAGAGGTTTAAAACCCAATAACGTTTGTTGAATGACATCGTAGAACATCTGTACAGACAATACCAGAGCAGTTCAGTCATTTGTTTTACAAGCTTTGGCATGGGAGCTATTTAATAATCAGATCAAAACACTTGTGCGTGCAAGATTTGTGAAAACACACAGTTGACAGCTGACGCATCGTTTATGCATTGTGTGCATCTGAAGGTTATTCCTGCTCAAGTTTGGTCAAAACATGCATGTACGGATCGTGTGATCTTAGAAACCAAGTCCAACTACTAAACATCACCATCGACGGGACACAAGTTAAACAAGTTGAGGAATTTAAATAGCTTGGGAGCATGCATACACATGACGGAAGATTGGACATAGGAAAATGGAAATCAGGACTCAAAAGCAAAAGCAGAAACCTATAAATTGTCAGCCCTACTCACCCATAAACATCTACCAATGGAAGTAAAAAGACAACGACTTATTCACAGCATGTTCCTTCCAACACTGACTTACAATATAAAACAGGAAGATGAAAAACTGATAAACGAAATTGACAGGGAATAAACCGGTTATGGAATAAGAACAGCAAAGAATGAAGTGCTTCGGTCATCTGATGAGAGTATCGTCAAATCACCCAGCTTCACAAGTTTACAACTCTAATAATACTAATAATGTCCGGATACAAGGGCAGGTGCAGACCACGCAAAACTTGGCTGGAAAGCGTTATAGAGGATAGAGGTTCTCCAAAAGAATAACATTTCAACAACAGAAGTCACCTACACATCCCTTGATTGAAAACTGTACCCCCCCCCCTCGACATCCAATGATGCAAGAGGAAGGATGAAGCAAAGTAAAAGGATCCAATCCTAGCATACTCTGAAGACATGAGACTCACTGCAACGTGGCAGAAATGGGTAGTAATTAAAGAAAATAGAAATCCCGAACGGAAAAAAATCAGAATCACTAAGAAGAGAACATAAACTGGGAGGCTGATGCCATTGTGAGCTTTATTCCCGAAAACGTTTCGACAGTACAAGCTATACGATTCTAATATTGACCATCAGTTTAATGAAAGACATGGAGAAACCTTCAAGCCAATGAAGCAAGAGTACAATATGCTAACGTCGCTCAAAATTGTTTGGGTAAAATGGAAGAGGAAATACAAAGCACACACGTTGGGGCTTTGCAAAATCAACTGTCTACTTTACACACTAGTGACTTTACTTTACTCTTACTTTATATGATCTCTTATACTGGGAGGTGTGGAGGAGAGATTCAGTTCTCGGACATGGGCCGGGTGTCTTGCTTTCTCGGATCGGCGTATTGTGCCTTTGGGGGGGGGGGGTCTTTGACTCCATCGATCCATCTTTTTATTAGCCTTCCTTTTGCTCCCAAGCCATCGAATCGCATCTTGTAGACCTGTGAGGCTGGCAGTTGTGGCCCCATTCTCATTACTCGCCCAAAACATCCTCTCGATATATTACGTTTCGACGCCCACTTATTGTTTGATGCCTTCGGGTTTTTTTTTTTTACACTGGTAACTACACCCAGTAAATAACGTCTCGACAGAATATGTTACCTGCCTTTA